TGTGGCTGCTAATGCACAAACACACGTGGCTGCTGATAGTGAGGGAATGGCAGAGTCTGAGTGGTGGCAACCTACCACATATGAGAGGAGGGAAGGGAGCAAGCTACTTCACACACACACAGATTCCCCTGCCACCTGGTGGGTACTCTTGGGTGCAGAAAGCAGGGAGGGTGGTTGTGGATAATCACAGGTCCTACTAGCAAATGCCAAGGAAAAAAATGGCACCCTGATATAGGTACATTAGGTTCTGTTTCCACCCCCATATTATTCCTGTGCCACTTCAGGACAAGGCTTAGAGGTACACGGTTCCGTCCCATTTCCCAGATTGCTCGTTCATCACTGGCAACATAGGACAGAGTCATTGCCCACCCTTGCCTCACTACTTCAGATGTCTGAAATGACCAACAGAAGACCTGCAAGGACTTGGGCAGGCAAGGACTTGTGTGTGGGGGGGGGATTTCACTTTCTCTTGTTTGCCCTCCACACAGTATTTCCTCTTTCCCTCCTCCTGGCAACCACATCATAACCTCTCCCTGCTGTCTTCTGTCCTTCCCACTCACCAAGCAATGTCTTTCATCTGCCCCCAGCCTTCAGGCATATTTATTATTTGCATCATTTGTACCCCTCAGGTCTGTAAAAAGATTCGCCTTGCCTGTTTATGGCTCCAGTCCCTGGATTTAAGTATTCACAGACTTTGCCATAGAGAGAATTAGATATACTCCACGATCAGGCAACGTATGGAACTTTCTACCTTACTTCTTCAGTCAGCTCTATCTTTTCTCCCACCTCCTCACCCAGCCTCCCTCACCCTCTGACCCCCCACCCACTCGAAGAAAAACCTCTGTGTTCACTCCCTCTACTGATCCCCCACCCCCCTTTCTCTGGGGATGCTAGCTCATAACAACTCTAGGGAGCGTTCCAATGCTGGGACCAGCTGTGGGAGGACATATCTAGCATAAATGGAACAGCTTCCAGTAGGAATCTTTTGATTTACCTGCCGATAGCTTATTCCCCAAACACTTGTGTGATTTTATATTCCACCCAGTTACTTGTAGTTTAAAATATTCCCCAAATTTAGTATATCACATTGCCTTTTCAACCTGCCCACTTTCCCCTCGCTTTTCTTTTCTGTTATTTTATGCATTCAGTGAAGATTAAAAACTGTTGCTGTTTCCCCCTATTTTTCTCCCACAATTCCACCCAACATATTCTAAGATTGACCCCCTATATTTTTTTTAAAAAGAAGAAGACTCAAAGACCTTTGGAGGAACACATTTGGAGGAACACATTGGAACCATAGAGTTTTGCCCAAATGCCAGAGTGTCCCCACTATCTCCCAGTGATGTGTTGACATTACTCCTGGCATGTGGTGAGTGATGTCAGCACACTGGGATGCTGCTTATTCCCCCTCCCCCAGTTTTGTTGTCATTTCTCACCCACCCACCAACTGAGCAGTGGTAGGGATGCTCCACCCCCCAGCAGGGGCCTGGCAACCCTATACTACTACAAAATGGCTGCCACTGGAAGAAGAGACAAGCACACATACACACGCAAGCGGAAGAGGGATGGAAAATATAAACACATGCACAGAAGATAATGACAAATGGGGGAAAGGAAGGACAAAAAAACACACAAAGAGAAGATGACCAAAGGGGAAAAGTGTGACACATATAGAGAAGACAACAGCAAGGGAAGGGATTATACACACACACCCACAAACAGCCCAAATGGTAATAGGGACTATTGAATTGCAGTGTCTTACTGCCCTCAGCATCTCTCTCTCTCTCTTTGCCCCCAGCAGCCATCCAGGTGTAGCATGAGAAGCTTCTCCTCAAGGTGGGGCGAGGAGTAAACCGCAGAAGTGCTATACTTGTGTTTGCTGCCCCTAGATAGCTGCTGCGGACCGAGAGAGAGGGGGGGATCTCCCTGATCCTTTGGGGGCCTCAGGAAGTCAAGCACTTATCCTCTGCCTCAGCTTTGAGGAGAAGTCCTTGTCTTCCTCCTGCTGCCCTTGGGGGGCTGATCAGGTTGCTGCTGCCCCATACTCCATCCTCACCAGACAGGTGATCTAGGTGCTGCTGCCACCCTGGGGCTCCCCTTACACTCCTCACAGGTAATTTGGGTGCCACTGCTGTTGCCCCAGGGTCCCTTCTCCTAATCCTGCCAGACAGCTGATGTGGAAGCTGGTGGGAAGGATGTGGGTGAAAAGCTCATTTATTTGTATGAAGGCAGCCAGTCTCCAGTCCTGCCTTCACAATGACTCTGCCTACCTTCCTGGAGCATAAGGTGGGCGCCATTGTGCCCACAGGCAATGCATTGGGGAATGGTGACTTTGTGGAACTGACCTATTTAACCCCACCCCAACAAACATGGTGATATCTTTTCTCATGGACATAGAAAGCAGAAGGTTCTGACCATCCAGTTTCTGTCGATTTCCCCCTAAAGCTGCAGCCCCATTCTCAGTATTTCGTGCTGACCTCAGAAGAATTTTTCTTTAAATGGCATAGGAGCAGAAGGGAAGGGAAAGATCATTTCCACTCACTTTTTAAAAAATCCAATCCAGATTTGGCATTTCTTAACATAGCCTGAATTCCATTGCATAGTATTTTGTGATCTCCCCCCTTTACGCTATTTTAAACTTCTCAGGTTGCGTGGAACAATCCTGTGATAGCCAAGGATTAAAAATAATGAAGCAGAAAGTTCAGTAGACAGATTCTAACCCAACTATTAGTCTATCGGAGAAGTAATCTCCTGTTGTGGTGATGACGTTAATGAAAACATGAGAAAATCAGGGTTGCTTCACATATGACATTTTGCCTATTTGGAAATGTGTGTAGGAAGAATGAGAATTTAAAAATGCACACTGTCATGTCCTACCAATAGCTATTTTTCAAGGGTGATGGGGGCCATGTCTAATGAACTCATAACTGTTGTAAAACCCACCAGCATTTATTTAAAAAACAATTACAAAAATATTAAAGGGAAGAAAGATTCGGTATTTAATTTCTGCCTTGAACTGATTTCAAAGAAAAGATTATTCCTCACCCCCCTCCACCAATACAAAAAATGGTTGTGTTTGAAAAGGAGATTTATTTATCTCCCACCTTTCTCTAATGGAACCCAAGGGTATATATATATGTGGCATTGCCAGGACGTCTTCCATTCAGGAACTGACTAGATGGAGTCCTGCTTAGCTACATTTAGGCTACTCAACAATGTGCACTTTGACCAAATCCCAGGTTTAGGCTTGTTGTCCTAGGACTTGACCTTTAATTGACCAATCAAGATGGACAAAATAATTTTAAAAATTCAATTGGAGTCTTAAAATTGTTCTTTGAAGCCTAAGGGGAGCTCATATCCTCCCTCCCCAGGGGTCTTGTTTTCAATGCTAGTTCTGTGTGTGAGTGTAAAGTGCCATCAATTCGCAGCAGATTTATGGCAACCCCCGCAAGGGGCTTTCAAGGCAAGGGAGAAGCAGAGTCTTTCTTGGTGGTCTCTCTTTCCAGTACCAACCCTACTTAGCTTCTGAGATCTGACATGATTGAGTGCCATTTTCCCTCCCATCAGTTCTACAAAATATAAAATAATGTTAAAGCAAAGGCCTCTGAGAGTGCGCAGAGTGTCCCTCCATGACACATTCCAGAGGGGTAGCTGTAACACAACCAAAACACTGAAGAAGAAGACTTGTGGCTCACTACATTTTGTGTGACATTCCATTGCAGAGTGCAGGTAAAAACAAGATCCAGTCAAGAGAGTAAACCATCCACTCAGAGAGTGTGAGGATCAATGAATTAGCGAAATAGGATGAATCAGAAACCTCTATGGAAGGACAGTGTTTTTTGAATAGTGACCTAACCATTCCCAGTCCCTATTGGATCTGGGTCTTATGCTATCAAATCTGTATAGGAATTCTAGCTCAGCAATTTAAATGCATGTATGTCCTGCAAAAGGAAGTCTTTTGACCTTTATTTGTAATAACATCCCTTCCCCCTGTTCTTCTTATTTCTGTATGAATGTATAATCGGGAAACTTCATTTAGGGTTGCCAACAGACCTAGAGAGATATCTCCTGCACTTAGGTTTACCAGTTGCTTGTCAGTGGTGGGCAAGCTCTAGCCCCCATGGTGAATCCCCGGAACTTGCTCAATGGAGCAGTAGGAGAAAAATGGGGAGCAAACCATGGCACACATGCTGTGATGTCACAATGTTTGTGACACTCTAGGACCTTGCCTGAATCTCTGTGGTCTTTACCACAGAGGTTGTGGAAACTCCTAAACTGATGCAGACGCCATGAGTCACGGTATGGTGTCAACACCACTCTGCCTCCCCAGGCTTGGTTCCCAAAGGCTCCCAAGGTTGCTCGATAAAGGTTGGAAACCCTACCTGTCCCTTTTATAGAGGGTTAATGCATTAAAGTGGGGAGTTAAAGCTTTAGACGCCACAGAGGTAAATAACATCACCTAGTAAATAACATCCCATTAAGCCTCTATTAAGCCTTTAAACAGGACATTTTCCTTGGGTAGTTGGCAATCCTAGGGAACATCCATCTGGTGCTTTGCTGCAATTGTATAGGTTTTTCCTTTTCAGATGTTAGACATTGGTATGGGGCATCTCAAAATTGTGTCCTGAGTGAATGATTTTACTTTCCAAAGTCAGCCAAACAAGCGTGTAACAATGAGCTACAACACATAAAACACTAATAGCGAAGGTGTAAATACAGAAGGTGCTTCGTTCTTTCCGGATTTGCTCCCCTGCTGCCTTATTGTGCAATTGTTGCTTAAGAAGCAGTTTATAATCCTTCCCGCTGCTAAGACAGGAACTAAACCCTTTCTGATTCTATCCTAGCTCCTGAAACAAAAAAGTAGCAACCCCCAGCATTGTGATGTCAGACAACAACTGTCAGAATTTTAATATGTGCGCAAAATTCAGATCACTGACATCAATGAAGGGGGAGGGAGGAGACGCCACACATCACCTACATTACCTCATGACATTTGCATAATGGGTCCAGAGGCAGCACTCTATAAGAAGGGAAGAACTGATTCTCAACAGGGAACTCAGCAGCAGTTCTATTGGATATCTCCTGTGATTCTACGGAGGAGAGCAACTTCGAAGCGCAGACGTGTAAACAGCTGCAGAAACAAAAAGTGAGCGGGAAGAACTCTTTAGAAACCTCAGCCACGGACTGACGCTCCCATACAGAAGGTAATTCCCATTTCTGTTTAATTGTCAGGCTGCCTGGGTTGGAGTTCCCTCTTCTTAGGAAGCGCGCGACTGAGCAACATCTGTATGCTAATGTCCAGCTGTTATTCCTTGATGTTCTTGATGCTTACAGAATTATGCTGTTTGCTGAGAGGAAATGCCTGTTCTGAATGACTTCTTGCTTTGTATTTCAATCAGAATGTGTGTATTTCTTTTCTTAAACAATGGGTTTCACTACATAAAAAAAAGAGAGGGCTTTAATTCTTAGTCACTGGAACCTCTCAGAACTGATTAAAATAGATGTCTTGAAATTTGGTTGCCGGTTTGCTAGATACTTGATCAGAAAGAAAATGTTGGTATTACATTGAAAAAATGTTGTATAATTTCACTGCCTTCAGAAAACCTAAATGTTTGCACTTTTTTTGGTCATTAGCCAAAATATAAGAGACCGGTTGCTTAATAAAAGTTTTCATAAAAGATATCAAACAGTGCTTCCTTAAATGCTCTTACATGATTTTGAGACTGTTAGAAACCACTTGGTAAAAAACCCACAAATGAAGCCTCTGAACTGGGAGAAAGTGAACAAATATAAAACCATTATTTGTACTGAGTTTACAAAGATGAACACCTCTTTTGCTTTCATAAGCATGGGGGGGTCTGATTTTTCATACTGTTATGATTTTCATACCTTATATTATAAAATACTGATTAAATAGAAAGTTTTAAAAAGTAAAGATTTGTTGGCTTTAATTGAAAGTTACAACACAGCTATGCCGGTACAAAATGACCTTTGAAGAACTAGATATTTTTTTTAACCCACCATGATTGTCTTCGGATACTATCCTGTATTTTAACCACAATATGTATAGCATGAAACAAAACCCAACCTCCAGTTTTCAGGAAAAAGTTATATAGATTCACATTTTAGGCACTAAATGCCTTCAAGTCACTCCTATGTTTAAAAATATATTCTCATAACTGAGTGAGGATCTTAAAGGGACATTAGCATTTATCTGCATATACAGCCCGCCAGTGCTTTGCTCAAAGGAAAACATCGACATTCATCTGAAAAGACTCATGCAAACTAAAAAGGCGTCCAGAAAATTAAAAGGGACAAGCAATCATTTCCATGGGCAACTAAAGCAGAACGGGATTAGTGGCAGAAGTATTCTGGTTCCTGGCCATATCACACATCTTTCTGAATGATTATGAAGATTGCATTTATCATCATGTTTGTTCCATTCCCTGCCACCCGGTTTTTCTTCACAGGGCCTTCAGTCCCATAATGCCATCGGCTCAACCGTTCCTTCTGCTATTCTTTCTGGCTTTCACCAGTGTTTGTGTCAACTTGGGGCAGCCATTTCCAGAGGACGGTGAGAATGAAGAAAACAGTCACTTGGATGATATCTTCCAAAGGGCAGAAAACATCATCTTGAGATCTATTCTCACGAAGGCTGACGATGACGAAGAGGATACCAACAAAGGTCAATGAGAACCTGAGGGCTTCTGTTGTCTCCTTACGGCTGAAGTCCATATTTCCTTATATTTATTTGATCTTGATTCATGTGACTTTTTGAATGTGTACATAAATGCTCTCAAGATTTTAGGGGAATTGTCTACAGATGTTAGGACACTTTTTTCTCTTCATTCCTGGCTGCCAGTGCCAACATGGGACAATTCATTCTTTATGAATAATTGGACGTCTTTTTTTCTGTGAATTCCGAGCAAGAGAAATGGGGCCATCTAGTTCATTGCTACTTGCAGTGGGTACATACAGTAATCAAAATGATAGTGGTTAATTTGTGTTAAAGCCTTAGGAACAGACGTTTCCACCTAGGTCAGTATTATCTACTCCAACTGACAGCAACTGTTTAGGGTCTCAAACAGAAAGAGGTGTGACACCTACTAACCTCTAAAGATAACTCAGAATATTTGCATTAAAAAGAATATTCTGCACCATTGAGCCACAACCCACCCGTGTGTTATGAAGGCTCTACCTACACCAGGACTTCTGAATAAGTCAGTTTAAGAGTAGTGATAGATCCACAAGCAACCAGTCTGTGAAATCTGCACTGTATGTAGAAGAAGAGTAGGTTTTTATGCCCCACTTTTCTCAACCTTTAAGGAGTCTCAAAGCAGCTTACAATCATATTCCCTTCCTCTCCCCACAACAGTCACCTTGTGAGGTAGATGGGGCTGAGAGACTTCTGCAAGAAGCATGACTGGCCCACGATCTCCCAGCAGGCTTCATGTGGAGTGGGGAATGAAATCGGTTCTTCAAATTAGAGTCCACTGTTCTTAACCACAGTCCCACACTGGCTGGCTTGCTTATCATCTGTATGCTAATGTGCAGTCTAAGCATGCAAATCCTCTGCACTGCTGCATGCCAAATAAGGTCCCTTATTTTTCTGCATTCATTGAACACCTACAGGTTAATCTGAACCTGACACCTTCAAACAAATTCTCCTCCTGCCTGCTCAAATACTATTTGCCATACTATTAGTTGTTCTTTTTTGCCACCCATTTTTTCAGGTAGAATTCTTTCAATGACCATTATGGACTTTTCGTGGGATTCTCATATTTACTATCAGTTTAGAGGCAGAATCCAGTCTTGCATCTACACATATCTGTCTACCCATCTATTCTCATGAACCAGGGTTTGAGTGGTCTTTGGAGAATGAGCAAGAGCAGATCCAGAGGGTCAGGAATCAAAACGTCAAGTTAAGTGAATCATCAGATTAAAGGGACAAAAGTATTAATATGCTGAGATCAGGTAATGCTCATGAAACAAACAAACAAACGAAGGGTGCATACAGGGGGGAAAGGAGGAAACTGTAGGCAGGGCTGGAAGAGTCTTCAAGCAGCCAGAAGAAAAAAACCCACCAGGAGTGGAAAGAGAGCAGGACCATGGCAAGGTGGAAAGCAACCAAACTAGGGAGGCTAGGCAGCATCAGCCTGCGATACTAAACTGCTTCAGGGGCAAAGGGATACTTGGTCTGTGCCCTAAATTGGTAAAGGAAGGGACCAACCTGAAGTGCTATAGATCAATTGGGTTGGTGGGTTGGTGGGAAGGTGTGGTGAGCAGTAGCTCAAGGGAACTTGATAGGCATGCTGTCTAGATTAAACCCCAGAGGGCCCTATATGGAGCCCTGAAAATTCAAGTCGGCTTTACAGTACTATACAGTCTTTTTGTTTAACATTACCTCCTGTACAAGCCCATACGGCACTGCTATGACTAATCCTGCTTGAACTTCTGTTACTATTATTTATTACTGAGCAAGATTACATATCTCAATTATCAGCGAGGCAAGCAGAATATAAACAAATCAATCTACATATGTTACATAAGATTAAGTATTAATATAACTATATGTGACTATTAATTATATTCAAAAGATTCAGTGGGGTAAGCTAACTATAAATATCTACCAGATAGTAATTCAAGCTATTTACATAGATTCATAAATACATTAACCTTGAAGAAGCATGCTGAAGACAATACGGTAAATTATTCTAATAGAAGATATAGGAAAAAATTACCATTATAGTGATTCACAGAATACAAAAGGCAAGATTTTTCGGAAACTTTAGCATTCCAAAACATGGTAATGTCCACTAGTCGATAAATTTGTCTGAAGTCTGCCAATTATTCCTTATCTGATGGTACATAAATTTTGTCATCAATGCAATTTGCCATATACGATTAATCCAGTCGTAGTTAGATGGGGGCTTCTTTTTCCAGTTGACATATATGGCCATTTCTACTGTAGTGACCAAACAAGACGAGTTCTGTATCTAAGGAGGATACATATCCTTTAAACAAACCCAACAGAATCACTTCAGGATTTAAAGGGATGTTAATTACCTAACGTTTGATATCCTGCTTGAACTTAACTGAATAATGACTGGTTATGAGAAGAAATAATTATTTCTCAGATTAGTTAATGCTGGGAATTTTCTTGACAGACCTAAGTGCTTCTCAGCTGAACTGGATTTCCAAAAGACAGCACCCTGGAAAGAGATCTCTAAATGACTTAGACAAGAGGCAGCACCCTGGGAAAAGGGAAGACGTGAGTGATGGTTCCTATGGAGAAACTCTGAAGCGGCAACACCCTGGGAAAAGAGAGGAAGACGACGTATTTGAAAGCTACTTAGAACTGCAGAAGAGGCAACATCCTGGCAGAAGGGCCCTGTGGGATCGGTACCCTGAGATCCCTAGCAACCAGCTGGCCTATCTGAATGAATTATCCAAAAGGCAACATCCGGGCAAGAGATACCTGGCTTACAGCAAGCGACAGCATCCCGGCAAGAGAAGCTGGGAGGATGAGCTCGATGGCAGTGAGCAGGACTTGGAGAAACGGCAACATCCAGGGAAGAGGTATCTGGGTTCAGAGAGTCCAGACTACCCTGTCCCCTGTGATCCCCAGGATTCCATCAACTGCAGCAAAGGCAGCTTGTTGTTGGAGCTGCTAGATAACGTCAACAAAAGCCAGGTAGAAGAGAAGCGACAACACCCTGGAAGAAGGTCTTCATGGGACGGGGAAGTGGAGGCGGAGGAATGAGAAAGGGGCAGTGTGTGATTATGCATTGTTTAAATTTCTCTGAATGATCCCCCCTTCCCAACTATTCAAGTTCCATTCACAGCCCTTTTTGACTCTCTGCTTGCTGCCATACCACGCAGGTAATTCTTTTGATCCTCTTGGGTTATGGCCCAGACTTAGCAATGCACAGAATTGTGGATTTGATTTTGAGCACAGGACTGAGTTGTCCCACTGAAAGGTCCACGACCAGGCTTTCTCACATCTTAAAATAAAATGCATGAATAAAGGATGATTCCAATATTTCTTTTCCCCACAGCAGCGGGGGGGGGGGGCGGAGGAGATGCAAATAGTAGGGAACTATTGGAAGACAGGTGTTACCCTGATGTGAGAATAGTCAGTGTGAGCCTGAATGGTCTCAACTGGCAGACCGGTTCCCGAAAGTTTGCCTGTGTCATGTTTCATACTCATGTCTACGTATTCCCTCATTACAAAGACACACATCTTTGACTGTTTTGTAGCTATCTCCCTCCACAGGGCTTTCAGTAAAGAAACATAAAACCACAATCATCAGCAGGTTCCTTTCTGAACTGGGTTCTACATGTATAACCTGGGAGGTGTGTAGTGCTTCCAACTAGGGTGTCTTACCAGTGTGTCCAGGTGGGAGCTCTTCACAGTTGGGGAATATGTGGACCAGAGTGGGGAGCAGTTGAAAAATGAGGTATCATTTTTGGAAGGGTTGAAAGCATGACTCTTACCACACAGACTGCATGACCTATGCTGTATTGTGGACAGATGAGATAGGTAAGAGTCCAGCATAGGATGAAGCCTCAGAGGCATGGGACTGCAGGGCTTGGAAGAGCACTGCAAGAACATCTACACAGCACCCTTCAAACATGCCATATGGAGATGCCATTTCCAGATTCAATTATTACCTGCTCAAACATGCTGCCCACCATGGGTCAGCCATCAGCAGCACCTTGGTCCATGACACCCATCCTCTCCTTGATCAGCTTCTAATTCCTCCTCTGCTCACTTGTATTGTTTAGAACAACTCTTTGAGTGAGTCCTACATTTTCGTGCCCTCAGAGGGGCTGCAAACCCACCAATACAATGACGATTCCCCAGGATGATTGTAACAGGCAGTCTAGTTACTATTCTAGATAACAAACAACAAAATGATGCCATAGTAAATCACCCGCCGTCCGCCATGATTAGTTAAATGGAGATCATGAGGGAATTCCCTGAAAGGATTGGGGAAGAAAGTTAATATAGATCAATGAAATACAAATGGATTTTAAAACTTTTTTTGTTGTAAATGGTGGCTTCTCATGCTCTTAATTCAATGCTTATGCATGAAGCAGACAAAGTGGGTTCCTATGAAAAAGGTAATTCTTAAATGGGCTCAGATCACAGCTGCAACCAGGCAGAGACCCCGGTGCTCCAGTCTCTGTTGCTGCTGTTTCCATTGTGATAGGGCAAGGGCTTTTGCTATACCCGGCATCCTGGGTTGTATGAGTAATAAGAGTAAAATGGATTGAATTATATTCCAAAGAGTGGTCTGCTCCACAAGTATGAATAATGTCAGCGCAGAAGGGGAATCTTATAGCTGGTGTTCTCCAGTCATCGTAGATGTGTTCCATCCAAATCTGTATCAGTCCCATGTAGTCATATCTCTCCCAGCTACTTTCCATGTGGTGAGGCTGCTTACAAGCTGTCTTTATGACAGGGGATTGTGTAGAATTGCTGTCTTTTCTGTGCTGGGTGAGATGGATCAAGCTGCCATTCTGCTAATGAACAAGATTAATGTGCACAGAGAAATGACATGCATATTCAACAGATCAGACATTTGCTGTTATCCTTTGCTCTAACCCTGATTCATAATGATGCAAGGTGCAAGAACCTTTTTGATGATCAAAGTTTCAAACAGCTGATTTGTTTTTACTTTAATTCACTTTATTTCAAAATAATGACAAGAGTACTGATTTACAATTGCAGCAAGCAGGTGTCTTTGTTTCATTATATGGCTTTTCGTTTAAAATACCCATTGTCCCAAAATAAATGTCTTCACTTTGTGTCAATGAAAGGTGTTTATCTGCCATAAACAAATCAATAAATATTCATCATTACCAATGGCCCAAACTCAGTTGTCCTTTTTGGTTGTGCAAAAGCAAATACATCTGCATTTAAAATGGGAAGATTTCAATTTAACCAATAGAGGGGGGGAAAGTAACATTTTTCTAGTCAAAACTTTGCATTGTAGTGACTGTCTATAGAACAGGCTTGCTGTGAGAGTGGAAGACCGCTTTATGTAGAAATTAGCAGAGGTACTTCTGAAAGCCGTTTACATATGATAAATTAAAAACCACAGAATGCAACATGAATAATCAATCAGCATCCTCTTTTAAACAGTGTCATAGTGAACTTTGGCCACTGGACCAAAGGAGAAGGATGTTGAAGTCTGGGAAACAATCCCCATCTTGGAAGGGAAGGCGATTGTAAGCTGCTCTGAGACTCTAAGTGAAGGGCAGGGTATAAATTCAATCTCCTCCTCCTCCTCCTCCTCTTCTTCTTCTGCCCAAAGAATGTGCAAAAAATGTGAACAACTGACACCTTCTGTGAAACATGGTAATAAGGTTACAAAATGCAGTAGAGGACAGCAGCCATGTTCCTTTCTCAGGTTTGTCTAGAAGAGAGGATTTCTTCTCATGTAGTTTATTGAACCCTGCAGCATTACAAACTGTGTGAACCTAGATGTTTTTCCATCTTGAAAAAAATAACAGAGGGATACACATCACTGCTGCTGAACAGATAGCTCTCTCTTGTTAAGGCAGGTAAACCTGCTTTTAAATCACAAGACAGAAACCACAGAAATCTGAACAAGTATAACGAAACTTCCTTTAAAGCCTTTTACATGAGGGATTTGTAGTGTTAAGCAGATGAAAGAGTTGTGGGGGCGGGGGAGCATTGTGTTATGTGAAGCCACATTTTCCAGCCTTTGCAACATTCTTTTTGTGACCTGTACAGTGGCGAACACATGAACTCTTTCAGATATGTAGAATATCCAGGCATCTGAAATTCAGCAAGGCCTTGATTGTTCTGTTCTTTATACTAGGAAAGTTAATCCTATGCAGTTAAGAGCATGGCTTGTCTGCTGCTTATGTTCATGTGACACGGAATGCTCCTCATCTTCTAAACTGTGAAGACATTTTAGAGTAACCCAGGCCCAGCTGACTGTTGTTATAACTGAACATGCAACATAGAGAGGATATAAACTGGGTGTTCTCCAGAGTAAAACTAATCAGCTCCAGTTAAACTGGATTGCTTCTCATTACAACAATATTGCTACTGGCTGACCTAGAAAACATTTAGCTGAGTAAGCTGACTAAGGAATCCTGTGGACATACATACTTGTGAGACAAGATTAATGTAGAGCTGCAATCCGGTCAGTGCAGCAAGGAGAACAATGTGTCCAATAAATGGGACCCCGAGTTACGATTGGCCTAGAAAGGGCACTCTCAAGCTAGAGGGAAAGCCCATAAATGGGACAGCCTGGGGTGCCACTTGTTGTCAGGCTGTCAGCCCTTCTGTTTCATCGGCTAGTTCCAAGAGAACTCCACCTTCTCCTTGAACAAGCCTCAGTAAGTGTTACACCAAGGAGGTAGAACTCTGGCCCCTCTTTCAAAGGAAGGAAGATATGTTTAGCTATTTCAAGTAAATCCAGCTAGCAACTGCATTTTGTTCTTTTACTAGTATTGTGCATTATTCTAACGGCCTGTGGATTGTCTCCAAATATCTGTGCTTCCCGGGAAAATGTTTAACCAATAAAACTTTTAAAATCATGGTCTTTGGGAGGCTGGGGAATAGACCTGTCGGAAATGCCTACTGCTCACAAATTTACCATGGGAAAGGATAAAGAAGTTCCACCAGGGAGAAGGGCAAGGTGTAAAAAGGTGACCTCTGCATTCCCACAATACACCTGCAGTCAGATCAAGGAATCAAGACTGGCTTACCAGAAGTTGCCCTGAGGGCTTTTCTTATTAGCACTGATCCTTCTCAAAAAGAATCTTTGGGTGGTAGCAGCCTACCACTGTTTGTCCCAAGGGAAAGGAAAAAAAGAATTTTATAAAACAGTTTGGGGCTCTTTAACAAGGTCCATCAATGGCTGTTAGATATGACAAGTAAGGAGACCCACGATACTCGCGGGAGGGGAGAGCTCCGTCTCTTCCATCCCCCCCCCCGCTCGATCTCCCCGAGGCGGCGGCGGCGAGGCCAGTCCTCCCTCCCGTAAGGGGACCCGCGATGCTCGCGGAGGGGGAGAGAAGAGCTCCGTCTCCTCCATCCCCCCCGCTCGATCTCCCCGAGGCTGCGGTGGCGGCGAGACCAGTTCTCCCCCCCCGGCTCAGGCGGCGGTGGCGGCGAGGCCGGGCCTCCCCCCCGCCCTGCTTTGAGGCGGCGGCGAGGCCGATCCTCCCCCCCGCCCGACTCCGCGGCGGCGGCAGCGAGGCCAGCTACAGAGCGTTCCCTGTGCATGCGCAGGGGACGCTCTGTCACTTTTGGGGGGATTTAAGTATCCCCCCGATTTTTAAAAAACTTTTTAGATTTTTGTGCACACCTGGGGACCGTCCCACGTGTGCACAAAACTCTCCCTCCCCCCCAAGTGCCCCCTCTGTGCTGATTTAGATATCCACACAGAGGGGGCTACTTCGGTATTAGATATATAGATGGCTAAATGGATCTTCCATGTTCTACTGAGACAGCGTAGCTAAGAATGGCAATTACCGAAAGTCAACAAGTGGGAAACCTTTGGCATCCATGGCATGCTTGGAGGCTTTTTAGGACCATCCGCTTGGCCAGTGCTGGAACAGAACTCTGTGCTAAATGAACTTTTGGCGTAGTCCAGTGGGACTCTTATGTTTTTTCTGAGTCAACTTCACCGTAAGACAAATTTTTATTTTTAAAAAAATTTCAAGACAAACTCCGTAAGACAAATTTGAAAGGGGGGGGGAGGGGAGGAAGAGACA